ATACTTTTCTAGGTTATACCTTAGACCATACTATGAGCCACTCTTGTCATATAAACAAGCTATGCAAAAAACTAGCCAGTGCAAATTACGCACTACAAAAACTGAAGCCCGTAACCAATAAAAAAACATTACTGACAGTGTATTATGCTTATGTGCACTCCCTATTAAGTTATGCGGTGACAGTCTGGGGAAATGCTTCTGATATAAATCGTGTCAGTCAGCCAAACCTTATTTTAAACAAAATAAAATAATGACAATTATTTCTTTATACATTTACAAATGTTTAATATAAATACACCATGATCGGGATTCACATTTGAGAAAGATGGACATCCATAGCTATAATTTACGTAATAAGGAACGATTGTGTTTGCCTAGAATAAGATTTGCAAAGGTACAAAAGCAAGGAATGTATAATAAACCTACTCGGCTCATCAAAGGTCAGCCCCTTAATTGAATAATGTCATTCAATTATAGGGCTGTGGCGGGCTCCTTACTGAATCACGGGTCCTTCCCCGCCCCCCTATTCACATAACAAAAGGGTATTTTTTCAATTAAACAATTTATCTTTCAACGTAACTCCAATATAATTCTTATTTATTACTTAAATATAATCAATTATATATAACACATTTTATAAACACAAAAACACACATAAATAATAAAAATATGGATACAATATAAAACGCTTTCAATATCAATGTACAGATAAAAGTATTTGTGCCAAACTAAATCAACGATATCTTGAGATAATTTAAACACTTGATTCTATTAAGTAAGACTTATATGTATATTGTGTCACTTAAAAATTGCAATTGAAGACGAGCATATTGAAACTGAAGACGAGGTAGTCTGCAATTCTGCGTTTCAATCGACCATGGGCATGGTTTCTTACATTTTACTAACAAGCAGTCATTTGTGTTCCCTACTCTAATAAAATTAATCTATGATTCCAAATTAAGGTTTCTATTAAAATTCTATACCCTAAAGACAATAACGGCAAAGTTTAAAAACATATTTATTAGGCATATTAGGTACACAATCAGCCAGAATTGGATTAATCGAGAAACAATACTATAGAGAGTATAAGCTAACATTTAAAACGTAGAAATAAAGACAACTTGTTACAACAATTTAACAAATTAAACGTTCAATATAAACACCGAATGTCTGATTACTTACCAGACTTCAAATTGCGAACACGCGCGTGGCGAAAAATGGCGCGGGCGCAGGCACGAAATAATTTCCCTTAACTCTCAAATTAAAGGACTTTATTTGCTAAATTTTGTTACTCTTATAAACATTTTGTAATGTTTCCTAGACAATATTATTTATCACTACATTTGAACCTCCTATCTACACTTAAAAAAAAATATACACGTTGTGAAACACAAGGTAACAAATTGGAATTGATACACAATTTTTTTAAGAAAAATATTCGTTTCTTACGTTTACAAACTTAAAAATAATTTCTCTCTTTAAATAATTGACGGGCAGTGACTGAGTACCACCAATAATTATTAAATAAGTTACTTTAGCTAGAAATCTCTGAAGGATATGTTCTTAAAAAAAATAACACAACAGTTAGCTTTGGTTTTATGGATAAATATATAAAGAAGTGTAGATGAAATTATCGACACAATTAAAATTATGTAATTTCATTTTTTAACTGAATGAAATGAGAATTGAGTTCAAAAAATAATTCTTATTAATAGAATAGAATAGAATAGAATAATTCTTTATTGTACAAAAACACCAATAAATAAAATAGGTAACAATAATATAGGACAAATAGTACAATCGGCGGCCTTATCGCTAAGAAGCAATTTCTTCCAGGCAACCGTTACTTTGGAAAATTTTAATTTAAATCAATAATTAGGTAGTCTATGGTGTCTTAAATGTACATGATATAAACATACATAGATAATTATCAAACATACTATAACAATAAAATATATATAGGTATATAGTGTAAAAGGTCATAGTGACAGATAGTGCTCCTTTACTAGATTTTTGAATCTATTTACCGTTTGCGCACGTCTTATATTTTCGGGCAATGCATTGCAAACATTGAATTTTATTAAAATTTTAAATCCTAAGAGATCGTATAAATATATTTGTATACTTGAAATAGTGGCACAGGTTTTATTGACTCTTTTATTTAATTGTATTTACATTGTACACAGTGATTGTACAAGAAAAAGTGATTCATTATTTGTATATTTCATTTATTATTGAATTATAAGTGACGAGACTTTCACGTTTTTTAAAAGATATTCATTTTTATGGTTAAATTCATTTCCTACAAAGCGATACTAACTAATAAAATAGGAATCATATAAAATAAAATGTTCTAACATTACAATGTTTTTTACAAGATGGCGCTTCTGCGCACGTCAAATAAATAAGATCTTTTAAAAACACTGAAATATAATTAAACATATCATTTTTATGCCAAATTATAATATTTGTTTACAATATTTGCTAAACACCGCTTAAGTAAAAAAAAAAGATCTTCTACCGAGTATAAATTACTCTGCATATCTAATAATTTTATTCTGTAATTTTTATACAACAATAACTTTATGGAGGTTTTTGAAATTATTATTAAGGAAAATAATCTCTAGAGAACAACAAATACGATAGATAGTGACTGGTGACAATTTTAAGTGTTTCCATATAAAATAAATATCGATAATGCATTATGAATGCAAAATTGGTCAAATGTAAATAATATGACAGATATTTTGTGGCAACATCTTTGAATTCATTTTTACAGATAAAAATAAATATATGTATAATATAAATATTAGAAATCACATTAATCGCTCAGATCTCAAAAGTAATAAGGTAGATATTTGCGTGATTATAATAGGTGAACAAATACCACTTTAAAACCTTATTTATAAATGATCATTTTACAAACTGGACCGCATAAAGTCTGTCATCTTGTAGAGTATAATAGCAACGTATCAAAGATATAACAGCAACGTATCAAAGATACTTTTCCTCACTTTTCAAAAATTAATATCACCTGGTTTCTGGATTGAGTATTTAAAGTGAAGCACGTCTCAAAGTAGCTCGGTGGCGTAGTGGATAAGCGCCGCGGCCCGCGATCGTTGTCGTTAAGCAACTTTCGCAACGGTCGGTCACGGGATGGGTGACCAAAAAATTATTATCTCGAGCTACTCCGTGCTTCGGAAGGCACGTTAAGCCGTTGGTCCCGGCTGCATTTACCTATTGGGACTATTTACCTTGTGAAAACTATTGAGAATAATCAGTGGAGATTTTGTACTTTCCTCAATTTAGAAACTTTTTTGCATATATAAATATATATATATATATATTTGATTAATTTTGCAATTCACAATGATTATACAGTATAAAAATGCTTTAAAACTTTGAGTCAATCAGCCAGTTGCACAAACATCCATTAAATTTGTCATTAGTTTAAAGCGACGTTACCGATACAAATTTGACATCCATTAGCTCTTTAAGGCGCCATTATAGCTTAATGGACGTTGGTGCAACTGACCGTTTGGTAGTCCAAATTCCTCTAGTACTTGCATCTTTCGCTAAATTTAATTAAAATTGTATTAAAATTACATAAAATTGTATATTCAACTTTAAATAACTCTAAAGATAATTTCTGATTAAGTAAACTGTACAATGCATTTAGTACATTCTCCAAACATTTTAAGGCGAAAATAAAATTTATATCGAAATACCAAAGACGAATCTTTTTATACATCTTAATAATATTAACCAGACAATAAACTTCATAATAACTAAAACATCAATCACTTAAGCTTCCAGTAAGCATTTACTGTAGCCAAATTATTTCCTAAGAACATTTTCAAAATGCTTCTAAACAATTCAATAAAAGTGTAAACAATATTATGTGAATCCGCATTTGAAATCAATATGTTAATATATTTTTTACATAGCAACCCCGGAGATAGTTCAGAAACAAATAACTTAATTTTTTTATTACAATCTACCAAGTTATTCCATATTTAAATGAGCAATAAGTTCTCTCTTTTATTAACTTTGGCAACAAACCACAGAGTGATTTTTATATATTTTGTATTAGAAGAGATTTTTTTACTATAAAATTTTTAAGTCTAGAATTTTTAAGTCTAGAATATATTCAGTTACAAGTAGGTAAACCATAAGTTGAAAAATCACCTGTACTTGTCAACGTAAAATTGCAGACATGGTCAATTAGAATTTATCTTTTTAGATTATAAATAAATTATCAAGTGTGTATATTAGATTATAATAATTCTAGTAAAATTATACAAATCGACTACATTACAACTTTACATCGACAAACACTCGTCGCTCATCATGGAACGAACATCCAATATCCTAACGTTGAGACTGCACTGCGATGAAACGCTTTAGGCATAACTGAAACGCAAACCCACATACATTACGGCTCACGTTTCCAGCCGGTTACATATGTGTTACTATGCGTGCCAAATAAGAATAGTACTGTCAAACAGCCATCTCGTTTCGTATTACGTTTCATCTTCAGGGTGAACGGTGTGAAAAAAAAGGAACCAGTGTTTATTTTTTTATAAATCAACGCATTATCGTAGTTTAACGGTTTACGACAACCCGAAGTCATAAAATGGCGACGCATTTAAGGTGGCCAAAGTTAAAGGTACGATAACGTCAACTTCATATTTAAGAATAAAGAAAAGACCAAGAGTATATATACATAAAATATATTTTATCATTGAATAATATAATATATGAATGAAGTTACAGGAATGCAAAAAAAATTAAGATTTTTTTTTTTTTGCTGTCCGTACTATCCTATTCTTTTTTAGCTCACATAGTAGTACACCTCGCAATGACTTGCGTTCAATCCCAGAGCGGTCCGAGTTCAAAACAACAAATATCTCCGTCATTTACACTTTGATTGAGTTTGATTGGAACTCTACGATTAAGTGTTCTGGTCCCGTGTGCTATCCGCGCCTGTCGATATTCGGCTACTTGTTAATGTTCCTGCGCCTACGCAGCCTGTGCCTGCAGTAGACGCGCAGGAACACCGCCGCGAACACGAGCGACACGCCCGCCCCTCCCCCCCACGATATCTGGTGACCGTACACCACGCACGACAGCAGGATCGATACCGCCTGCCGACCGTAACACAACACTACGATTACTATTGCTCTATTCAATTCAAACGATTCAATTTCATGATTGTTTGGTGAGCATTTTTTTTTTGTATTAAGTATAATTAGAATGTCAATATAATAGATTAGGGTTTCCGATCTATATATAGCAAAAGAATCGATCTTGCTTGTCAATTCAGAGCCTTTAATATCGATTCGGAGCGATCTATCAAAAATCCATTCATTGTCCGTCGTACAAAAACCTTTGTATCTAAATTATTGGGGTATTATCGAATTATTATAAATAAAGAAAATGTAAATCGTTAATCATTATTTTATGATAATGCTGTTGTTTTCTAATTTAACGAGGTAAATCAAAGATGAATTCTTTATAGACCATAGTTAAGATCGATTATCGATCTCTTCGTTTCGCGACAACGAATCAATCCTGGTAGCAAAATATCGATCTAAAAATTAGAGATCGGAATCCCTATAATGCATTTAGGATGTCAATTTAAGTAAAAAACTAAAAAGCTCGTACGAATTATCCTACATCCTTAGTTATATTTCTACTATCCTACATTCCATTCCCACTTCAGGGTAGGACCTGGGGTGCGATTGCCTAACACTATAGTCATGATTCTAGCTATAGAATACTACATCTTATCTATGTTATGTCGATATTTCGATTAATTTCACTACTTTGGAATGTACTTTAGTAACGACGAACGAACGATAAATAACGATGACTATGGATTTGATAGCAGTGTTACCAACTTACATACAGCCAGTTGCACAAACGTCCATTAAAAATATAATCAGTTTAAAGCGACATTACCCACACAATTTTTACATACATTAGAGCTTAAAGGCGCCATTAAACCTTAATGGACGTTTGTGCAACTGACCGTTAGTCATTTATCCCAAATTTATCTCCCGAACGATGTGCACAGGAGTAACATTGCAAGAAATATCGTAATAATATCGCTAATATGCTATAGCTAACTCTCTAGATTAGCCTCTAGAGGCGGTTGGTCTGCTGACCCGGCCTCTTATGTAGGTACAGATTAGCTTCATTAGATATGATTTTAACAAAATGATAAGAACGATTTATAATTTTCTGAACTTTTGGTTTAATAATAATTAAAATAAGCATATTAATTCATACGAGTTACAGTTTTATTCCACAATTAGTGTAGTTTGCCTTATTTTTAGTGCGAGTTTTCACCGCTGTTTCTAGCATATAATACCCGTGCAATAAAGTAATGCAATAACACCCATTTCTTAATCTGAGCTGGAGTCAGTTTTGACCACACAATATTGCATTTTTTTAATCGTTATGTGTATTGCCTTTTCACATAGTGCATTGTACTGTATGTGGCATGTATTGTCAAAATATTTGTTTATTCTATTATATATTACAAACGTCACATTCTGTAACGCTCGCTCAAGTATTATAGGGATGGTGAATAGTTTTTGTTTGTCTGCCTGTCATCTGAGGTTATTTGAGAATATTAAACACATTTTTTTTTGCGTAATCAATCAAGTTACAGCCCTAATTCAAGTTGTAACGTGACGTCACACCTTCATTTTCTACGTAGCTGTGACGTAGCGAGCTCCCACTCCTCAACTTTACTGCCTATTATCTAAGCCATTTCTTGTCAAATTTTTTCTGTTACCTAACTTTATTTTTTAACCTAGTCATTATACCTATTACAGTAGAAAATAATTTTCTCAATCACATACCTGTCTCAAAGTCATGATAATTGTGAACACGACGGCACCGAACCTGGCTATGGTCCGGTATATCAGCAATTGTCCTACCGCTGAACTGGCTGATAACAGGAGGCAGTCCATCGCGAACACGGGATGCTGGAAAATAACCGTTGCGTACTGTACAATAAGGTCTATATTTATATTGAGTAAACAAAGCAACATCTAAGTAAGTGCGAAACTAAACAAGTGTATGTAACATATTAATATTAATACTATTATTACAATTGTTAGGTCAAACATAGATGAAACCGGAAGTTCTGGCTAGCAATTATAAAAAAGGAAGATACATAAGAAATAAGTGTTGCCAACATTCATAACGTATGTTGGCAACACTTATTTCATAGGTTTTTTTTTCACAGGTTTCTTTCATAGGTTATTAACCCTAATCAGATTTTGGTTCTTGAATCCTATATAAGAAAGACGAAATTCGCTTAAACTCACCTGTAACAATCTAAGGGAGTGTATTGTCGTGTTGTGTTGCGCTAACGCAGCTGCGGTGAGTGCGCACGAGAACAGATTGACACCACAAAGCATTTGTAGTGATGTACAATTGTATCTAGTAAATAAGGCCCCTTGCCACGACGATGTGAAACTGTCACATAACATGTATAGAGCTAGGAGTGTCAATCCAGACATAGTTGTCACTGTTGACACTGAAAAGTTAATTATAATGAATTATTTTTTTTTTTTAATAATATTATTTTTTTATAGTGGAAAAATAGGTATTTTTTTATATTTGGTTCTAATATATATATATATATATATATATAATAGTGCAGTAAAGAAAAAAAGTTTTTTTTCGATTTTATCATATAGATCTTCCTCAGTGTCCCAATTCACTTCAACCTTATATTATAGTCGTAATAAAAAACATTTTAAATATGATACATACTCTACAATTATACCAATATTGTTTCCAATTTTTTACTGTTTAGTTATTGTTACCAATATTGTTTAGAGGATATATTTGTTTGTTTGCACTGAAAGTACTGCACCGATTTTAAATTTTATTTCTCTTACAGTAAACTACATCATATGCTATTACGCCGGCGAAATCACGGGAAGTTCAAAATGTCTGGCACCGACCTCAAAAAAATTGGTGGTTCATCCAATTTTTTGAGGTTCATTTTTTCGAAGATAAAGATTTATGGTATTATTTCTCTCTTTTCAGTCGTTTCTCATTATTACGATTTTTTTGAAGTCGTTTAAATTTTACAACATTGTTTTTATAAGCATAAAAAAAATTTAAAAGAGTTATGAAAGGAGGCGACAGCCATATATCGTGACTCATGGCGCTTTCTCCTCTGCCTATCCTGCAAGGGATCCGGCATGAAGTTATACAATGATAGATATAAAACCATTTATAATAAAATATAATTTAGTTTAGATTAAGAGTTTAAATTTCATCTCAGACACCAAATACAGTTCAATTACCTTTATATTTTTCTAACGGAAATACGATTTACATTTACCTGCGTAATCATCATGGCTGCCGAACATAAAAAGCACCATTCCTACTGATATCATGACGGCGGTCACATATTCGTACAGTTCATATTTGGTCCTAGATATAACTTTGCCCATTAACATTACTGGGATCACTTTACACGACTTCGATAATACCTGGAATAATAGCCAAAAAGTTCAATCAATGTCTGTGAATTTAAATAAAAAAGTAATAGGTTAAAAAAGTTAAGTCTGTGTATTTTAATGGATATATATTTTTTCATAGAGTAGCTATTTCAAATCCCATTTTTTCTTATTTAGTTAATAGTGAAAATCCGTTTTAATTCCTAACTATCTTTTTGTTCTAAATGGTTATAATTTTTTAAGTTTTGAAATCTTGTTTGATTTTTATTAATATGAGCTGTCTTAAGTTTATTATTTTCATTAAAAAAGCCTGTGCCGTTTGTTACTAAAGTCTATCATCAACTGATCAAGTGTTATTTATGATATCTCGAAATACTCTTTGATAGCAAATAGATGACAATGAATATTATTATTTTAAGTTCATATTCATTGCATTAGAGTTCAAAATTGCTTACCTGTGTTGGAAAGCTAACATATTTCAACGCTTCATATTGGCACCACGTGCTGATAATATTTGTTACAGAACAATACGAGAACTTATATAATGGAGCCGACACAAGCGCTTGCTTCGTACTCAATAACCGTCCTAGAGCCACTAGAAATGCAAGCGATCTATTGATAAATACTAGGAATTGAGAATCATTGAACTTAATCAATGTTCCATCTGGCATAACATAGTTCTGTGAACAAAACAAAAACATTTCACTTTTATTTTTAATTAATATTCGACCAAGGAAACGTGTTTTATTTAAAATATATACAGTCAACGGCACATCAGGTTATTCGAAACTTTCAAGTTTTTCACTCGATTTTAAACCTTAGTGTATTGAGGGAACATTGAATATCAATTGCGACAATTTGACGTATTATGGTACTCGGACGTGCTTTTGTGTGTACCATTTATCTACGACGATAGCTTGTCACGATAACTTGTTACAATAAGTTACAAAAGTAACTTGTTGTTACAAGTTACCTGAAAAGTTAAAGACCAATAATTATATCTACAGAAAAATAAATTGATTAATACCAATTATTAATGTTGTGTTATTTACTGTTAGTCATAGATATTTTGCATTTATTTATTTTCAAACTACTAACTTCAGACATTTAAGAAAAACGACGTCCATAAAGGCGGTGCTAAACATGGTCACCCTACTGTTCGTTGAGGTTAATGACAGATTCCCATCGGTATACCAATAGTTTGTTGACTATATATTAAAACGCTTAAGTTAAATTACCTGTGTCATAATTTTTTCTTGCAGAAGTCCCCATACGAGATACGCGCCCATCAACCCAGTGAAGCAAAAAGCCAATTCTGCTCCTTCCCTTGAAGGAGTTTCGTCTATTTTTGTTGGCTTCACCGAGTCCGGTAACCGTTCATTAGGTTCTCCAAAACATGCATTTAAAGCACGGGATAAGAGAGTGGCGTTACCTGTACAAACAAAAAGTTCTATTCTAATAATATGATTACTAGCTTTCCGCCAGCGGCTTCGTCCGTGTGCCCGTATCCGTGATACGAGCACGGACCATAACTTCCTACTGAAAAATATAGTTTTATCACTTTATTTGCTGTTTTTCGGGATAAAATATAGCATATATTCATCGCATACGATATAGCTTCCCGTAGGTAAAAGAATTTTTTAAAAACGTAGTCCTGTGATTTCTGAAAATTCAAATTTTGAATGATTTCAAATAGACCAACGCCATATGCCATTCTGATGCATACAATAAATTAATTTTTTGGCTGCAACTGAATCCTGAGAAATTATATGTAAGTACAATTTTAACATTTTTAAATTCCAGCTTATTTAGATGGTATTTCTATGTACAAAACAAAATAAGTTTATGTGATAGTGATCTGAGTGCATGTGCTTTCTTCATAGAACTACCCAACTTTATATTGGGCACATCATATATAATCGGCCAAATTGCGAAATGGCGGCGGGTCGTGATCTACATGGGCAGATCTTAATCAATTCACTTTCGCAATTGGCCAAAGATATAATATATATCTTTTATTCACATGTCAACTAAATGTATTAGATTATATAATAAAATAAATCAATATATTGTCTTTATATCAGTCAATTTATCACTTACCAATCTTATCAAAGTAATTGGACTTATCAAGATATTTGTACAGGATGAAGCCTGGTAGTAAAACAGTAAGATAACCACCAATATTTAGTAACAAGCGGAACAACCTAAAACAAACATGAATGAATGAGTCAATTTAAATCATTATTTTTTTTATATTAACAATAAAAACATACATGATTTAAAATAATGAACTGATCCAGTTTTTTTAATGAGTAATAATTCATTTGATATAGATTATTACAAATATTTTTCTTATGTTAAATCTCCTCAATCAATTACAAATCGTAATCTATTGATTTTTAGGTTCAAAATCAATAGCAGATGTTTGACTTTTGTGGCAACATTATGTGCAAGTTTTATATTTTTTATTGGTATTGGTTGATATGTCTTTATCAATAACATGAAAGAATGATTATGTTTTACCCACCATGAATATTCTATATCCATGAGCCTGCCAGATTGTTCATAAGCATTGAGGAGCTCTTGATATATGCGAGCAAACAACCATGTTGTTAGGATACATGCTGCTATCACCAACCTATAAAATTGTTATAATTTTTTATTTTTCCTTAACATTATTAATGGTGTTAACTCTGTGTAGCACTCACTAAACTAGACTCAACCTTATACTAGACTCATAAACACGTTTATCCACATTTTATACTTGTTTGTTGTAAATTCTAAAGAGACACAGAAAGCTGAATGGACAAGTAAGAATCTCCACACAAAATAAATTTTTTCTATGGACAGAAGCTGAACAGAGCTGAATAAATATAATGAGACCCTAACAGGACTAAACCTTAATTAAGTCTAGTAGCAACAGATTGCTACCAATTTAGGGCCACAGAGTTATCAAAAAAGTATCAGATCTTGTATAGCCTAGATTCTAACTCTCCAAGCCCTAACTTCATAAACACTTCATCTTACTCAAAACCAGTGGCTTGACCATTTTATTTTTACAAGAACTATGGTATAACAGAAAAGTAATAAACAGTGTATAAAATGTGTAGTGTTTGTGAAGTAAGGGCTTATAAAGTTAGAATCTTAGCTATTAGAATCTTAGCTATTTGATAACTTTTTGAAAGTGCAAGTCATATAGTCTCGGCTCGGAAACACTACATCCACGATGGGCAACAGGCGGCCCACAAGACATTTTGAAAAACCTAATTTATAAAAACATTGTCGTATTATTTCATGTCTGATATCTATCGCAAAAAATTATGAACACTACAACACTACTTTAAAATGTACTACTTTTAAAGAAAGACTGCAAACGTATTTGCACACCAAAGTTTGGCCCACAACATGTCCAAGCTTGCCCATACCTGCTTTACATGTTAATCTTTATTGGTGGGATGTATTTTTTAAAAGTATTAGAACTAGCACACACTTGTGACTTTTTGTCACTAAAGTCTATAGCACACACCGGTTGTTATTGTCATTGTGACTTATTGTTTTCATCACCATCTAATTAGTTTTAGTATAATCATTCAATTGTCACATGTATAATTGTGCATGTTAAAAGTAAAAAAAGTCGCCAATGCATACTATGACTAGTTGGCCACACATAGATACTCCGATGGTTACATATTTGACTGTGCACATTACCATATAGTTTTTCAAGCATGTTTATTTATAAAGAAAAGGAACATGATAAAATAATATTAAAAAGTATTAATTAATTTTTGTTTATTAAAATATGAATACGCAATATAAATGAATTGACAGGTAAACTAACTGGGAAGAATGTAACACCTAGTATGCATATACAAGAAGCAGGCAAGACCTTAAAAATAATTTAATTTTAACCCAATACAATTATTTCTAACCATTTGCAAAAATTCACAACTCATTTGTTCACAAAAATATTACTTTATTTACATAGCGCTATTTTTCTCTGAAATATCTTAAAATTTTAAAAACGCAATTATTAATAACAAATAAAAGTAAAAGTAAGAATAAAAATCATAACAGGGACATGGGCATATATCGTGTTAAATGATTTATTTGTGCTACATAACATGGTATACTTAAACTACAATAGATAATAACACAATTCAATTTCCATAGGAAAATTGATTATATTGTACGTCTCGTAAAATTGAAATTTTTTAAATTAATAAGTTTTATTGCGTTTCTTTCTTTTACTTACACAATAATTATCCTAGAACGCATTGTCAGCTATTAAGATAATTCTCTGCAAATATTACTACACCTATTTTACTTTTGATGTGTCACTAACTTTCTTTAAAATTAGAAATTTATTATAAATACAGGGCGCCGAATAGCGCTGTTCACCATCACCATCTGTCAAATCTGTCAATTACATATGTCATACATGACCACAGATTAGGGATGTTCTAAAACATCGATAACTCGAATAATTGAACTTCTAAACGAATTAAAACAATTTTTAAAACTAATTGTAAGTGAAAATCTATAACATTCATTAACGGATGGGAGTTTTAACTTAATACTTGATCGAATTAACATGACACCTAGCTCAAAACTTTATAACCCCCGCACAACACTCCGTAGTCTCCATTCAGTAGCGACAGCAATAATTTTCGACGGAATGATTTTTTAGGAATCAATATTTTTTTAATTCTTAGGAAACTAAAATCATATTACGTTACTACAATTTACTATGTTAGTATAATAGATTTGGATTTTTTTTTAATCGTACGAAATGGCAGCATCTTTGGACGTTGTACTTCTCACAAATCTCATTCTAGACAGGTGTCATTAATTCGAACGAGTAGCCAATTCGGTTGGTTAAAATGTTTTTAGACTCTGATGAGAAAATTCTACTTATAAAATTGCTGCTTTCATAATTTTTATCGTTGTCACGCGTTTTTATGAAGTTTTTAATTAAATATTTTATTTATTTCTGTTTGTGAGAAATACATTTATTATGATATTAATGAATAAATAAAAATTTACCACCATCTAACATATACAAGATATATAGGTACACAAAACACTTTGATATTCAATATAGTAATAAAAATATTTTTGTGATAAAGCAAATTTGAAAAAAAAAAAACTACTTTATAGAAATCTATCTATTTAACCACAATTTTATTTTTAATTAACACATCAGGTTACTAAACAATCTCTTTATTTTTTTAATGTCAATTCATGATATTAGAACAAAGAGAATAAAATTGTCAGTGTTGCTATGGACCTGATGACTCGGATTACGTGCAAATAAATTGTCGTTACGAAATTTTTTTTTTTTGTTAATATAAGTTAGTAAATAATCTTAAGAAAAATTCAACAGTCAACAAGAAACGAACAGCAAAGTTATAATTTCAATTTCACAAAGACAAGTACAGTTATTATACTATCGCTACTGAACTTGCATATCGACGGCGGACGTCGAGCCAGGTGTTATGTTGATTAGTACGGTGGGTATGTGCTTTTTAGTTCTTACAAAAATATTGTCAATAATTAATTGACAACCTACTCTAGAAATCAGTTTTATTGAAATATATTACTTATTAAATATGAACTATATTACTTAGAGTAGTCACGTTCTCTTAAAAATCTCTACGATGTTGTCGTGTGTGTCAGCTCGTTGCGTTTCCTGAAATACAGTTGAGTGAAGCGATGACTGACTCTTGCGTCAAGCTCGTCTACGGGTGCTGCCAGTGGTGTGAGTCTGCACTGGACTACTTAAAAATATCTGTCCATTTTCTTTTATTATGAATATTATATGTTAATTTGTCGATGAGTATTAATCAGTAATCGAAAAAATATCAAGCTGAATTCTGCGCTTCTTCCAAACCTGTTTTCGAATTAATCGAGACAATTGAAATTACGAGCAACCAATAAGTTGGTGCATCACTAATTTTGACATATAAACCAAAAATTGTCCCTTTACATGTAACATAATAAATAACTTAAACTTACTATTCAAATAAATTAAAATTAACTTGAAAGTTAGATATTATAAGAAACACGAAACGATGTCATATTCAATGATATTAATATAAGCAATACATACCAAAAATCAGAAGCTACTAAAACTAAGACGTTTGTCTTAGTTTTTCGTTTTTAACTTCATTACCAATGTCATTATTTATTAATTTTAGATACTCAATTTACTTTATTACGTCAAAAAGAAAATATGAATGAATATTATCTGAAATCGCTAGTGATATCTAGTTTGATTTCAAGAACTGATTTTTATTTTTTAAATACTTTCTCATAGTAAATAGTTTTTTTTTATTGTTATAGCCTTGTTCTTCGATTTTATTTTATACAATCGCCATCCCTAAACGACATAACACGTCATTGTCAAGGTCTAGCTTATTTAAAATATTACGTTAAAAGCAAAGGTATACAATCCATAACAGTGGCATGTGAAGTCGTTTTTCTTGTTTAAATTATCTTATAATATTTAGCAATAAAATATGATTTAAGATAAAATGCAATCAAAGGTTTGTACGATTCTTTTGAACAATGATAATTTAATCATACAAATGATATATGATTCTAACCTACGACGATATTACGATAATATGTCTAGATAAGCAAATCACTGGCGAATATTATATTTGAAGTTTACATTCACAATGCTATATCGATATATAGGTTTAAAAACAATGTTTTTCTTTAAAAGGAATATGTTCTGACGAAATTAGCGTGCTTTAATTATATGATGTAATGATCTCATTATAAATAAAGTTTATTGGAATTTTACATCTTTTTTCACAAGCCGGATTGCGTCCACCATGTTGGAATTATAATGAAATGAGGTTTTTAGCATGATCTTCTCTGCAAACAGGTTCAATTGATATCCATATTAAGGTAAACGCAGGTATTACCGCGGTACAGGGCTTGAAATCGGTTCAAAATAAACCGTTTTTATTTAGGTAAAACCTGTTCGATTATAATGTTCCGTTCCGGATCGGAACTAAATGCGGAGTGAAATTCGGATAGAATAAAAACCGGTTAATTCGCTTGGTTCGTAAAAAGCAATGTTCTTACGCTTTTAATGCGAATTATATAATTTTTAAGCGACAACATTTATCATATCTATATACGGATGTTATAGATAGGAGTGTAGGCACTTAAAAACCGCGCTGAAGTTTGTGAGATCATTGTCTAGAGTCATATTTAAACCGGTTAATGAAGAAAACCGTATTTCTAGTAAACTGGTTTAAAAACCTGTTCAAAGGAGCTGAACCTATTATGTAAAATTTCGCATGTACTTACGTCGAACCGGTTCAAAAAATAAACCGGTTTCCAAGCCCTGCCGCGGTAGTTGAAAACCTGCAGGTATTATTGAGGTATGTGATATAATTGTAGTTTTAGGCGATTGCAGGCATATTTTACTCAAAAAGTTAAACTATATCAATTTATATTCGTTTGAATGGACCCGTGGCGCACTATACACAACAAATCAGAAAAACAAAAACCTATTAGTTTGCGTCCAGCCGGTGCCAGAGCATGACGTCCAAATAAACGCAAGTCACCATACGTAAGTATATTCGGTATACTCGGTATTAGCATAATGGAATACTAATAGTTTTATTATTTTTTTAAGAAAATTCTATATAAAAGCAAATACAGATAGTTTGGTAATTCGTTCACGTAATTAGATAATTAAAAAACAATTTCCGCGGTATGGAAATTGCGTTAGAACTCTTATTTTGTTGTTCTAATTAAACCATGTAAAATTAACTTTGTATGAGAGCACTAAATTAATACGACATGAAACCAAAACCCAGTCTGTAGTTTAGACCTAAGTACATAATTCAAAAATCTTGTTTATGTTTAGGTAATTTTATTAGTCGTCGTATAATTTTTTGTAATGTTAAAAGTTAATCAAATTTCAAATTATGATACACTGCCACCTATCTTAATAAACGGCAATCGTATACCTTTCACTCAGTCTGTAAAAAATCTTGGTGTCAAGAATCTTTTGCCGACTAAGACTAAAATCACTCTTGCTCAGTCACTTCTTCTCCCTCTGCTTGACTACGCTGATTCATGTTATACAGACCTAAGTGTCGTTTTCCTAAATAAACTTGAGCGACTGCAGAATTTGTGTATCCGTTTTGTCTTTGGTCTACGTAAGTATGATCATATTTCTGATTATCGTACCCAACTTCAGTGGCTACCTATCTCTTGTAGAAGAGATTGTCATATCCTATCACTCCTATATTCCATCCTGTTTCACCCACACACACCGCATTACCTCAAAGAGCGCTTCGTCTTTCACTCTACGAATCTTACTCGAGATCTGCGGTCTTCCTATAATTTATCTTTAGTCATGCCTTCCCACAATAATGATTTCGTAGCCAAGTCATTTACAGTTAAAGCAATCAAACTATGGAACTCTCTGCCTATAGATATTAGACGCGCGCAATCACGGAACTCATTCAATAAATTGATAAAAGAATATTTCCTCAATTTGGACTATTCCTCTTGAACTTCCAATTTATTACTTTACTATCGTAAGTTTTATTTATATATTTGCACTTTATACGTTCTCGTGTGTTGTTTCCCCTATTGCACTAACCCGCAGTTAATTTTTCTTTATTGGTATCATTTCCTTTAGCCTAGGGTCGCCTGGTAGAGATTGCTACCTTAGCAATAAGGCCGCCTTTTGTGTTACTGGATCTAGTTTTATGTACCTTTCTTACTGTATTTCATAGTGCAATAAAGAATAATCAATCAATCAATCAATCAATCAATTTTATCCCTTGGAGTTACATTATTTACACTGTCGCGAATGAAGCTATCACCGATGGTGAAAACAAGCTATTAATCGGTAATACCATGTTCACGAAGCTATCACTGAGTGTTATTACTCGGTATTAACTTCACTATAGAATTCTAATACCAATTGATAATAGCACTTATTCTTGAGTTTAGGGTTCTCTAGAAACAAATATACTTATTTGTTTGAGGTACTCTTCATGTGAAATTCAAAACCCTACTTTCACCTATACCTACTTATTTTTCAAACTCAGGATTTAATTTTTACATAACAATTACGTAACAACGAATTGTTCAAAATAACACGTTAATCATACGAAAAAAAGAAGTTTCTATTCAAAAGACATTTATTTATTAAGATTATCAAGACTATCAAAAGTTATACATAAGTGCCATTGTAATAATAGTAATAGGTAATAAGTCCGTAATATAGTAATTTTGAT